GTAGAAACAACGAGTCACTCAATCAACTAGAATGAATGCCAGTTGTGAAATGAATGAGAGTAGGAATAAGCAATGCTAGTAAGATGCAAATCAAGTAGTAAATAAGTGATCAATGTCAAAATAGTGAAGTTTTAAATGATTTATGCTATGTGAGTGAGAGAGTTTTAGAATAAAAAAGAGAGAGTGATCATAAGTTTTACTAAAAATCAAAAAGTTAGAACCCTTCACAATTGATGTGAGGTTGGTATTTGTAGTAAAATGAAGATGATCCTTGACCACTAGAATCGTATCGTGTCATCCATATTTAGATGGTGATATTCAAGTTGAAAAAACTAATTTTTTTTTTTTTTTTTTTTTTTTTTTTTTGGTTATACAATTTCAACTTACTAGCAAATGTTAAATGAAGTACCAATTAGATCTTTTTTTAAAGGATTTTGTTACAAGTCTACCAAATCATTTTCTTTAATGCATTCTAAATATAAGACATGCTAGTCCTTCTAAAATATCTATGTCCATCCTTACATGATCCAAAGTCTTGTGCTAGTGGAGGCTCATCCTCAATTCAATATGTTTATTGTATAGTTTGAATCTATACCAAAATAAAAATAACATTGATTAATACATAATGTTATAACTAAAATTTTAATTAATTATATGGATAAATTGAGCATAAAATTAAAATTCAACATTATTTTTTTGCATGAATGTTATGGAAGATTATACTAACTTTTTTTTTTTGTTATGTATAAGCTAAATCGTTTTTTTTTTAATGCTAACCCAAGCAATCGGTGAGTAATCTTTTGATATAATGCTTAAATTAAAATATTTGGAAGATAGAAGTTAAGTCTTGAATAAAAAAAAATTCTTTATATATATATATAAATATCGGAGGCCCAATCCAAACGAAAGGGAAAAAAATAATAACTACCTTTTCTCAAGTGCAACAAAAAATGACCGAAAAGATCCAACCATTCCCGAACTATAAATCATTTGAAGTTAAGTCCTTGAACATTTTTATTGATTTTGTACACACACACACACAATCGTAGGCCCAACCCAATCGGAAAGGAGGAAAAAAAAAAAAAAACTAACTTTTCACATGTGCAACAAAAAATGACTAAAAGTATCTAAGCATGGTCGAACCGTAAGTCATTTGAAGTTGAGTCCCCGAATATTTTATTGATTTTGATAATATCTCGAACTTTTAGTTTTTTTTTTTTTTTTTTTAGATTTTGCATATTCTTTAGTTTTCTCGTCATTTATCTAAAATAATAAAAATTAAATAAATAGTTTTATGATGAAAATCATCCAATGAGATTTATGTGGAGCTCTTCAAAAAAATCCGAGATAATTTTGAGGTTATTTTTTATTTTTCTCAATTTTCTATGTTTTTAATGTTCAAAACATTAACAAATATAGTTTTGATTTAGCAAAATTCTAGAATTTTTCTACAAAATAGATTGAATATTTTTTATATGTGCGCAAAATTTTAGTTTAAAATATCAAAATTTGATTTTTTTAGAGGAGAATATGATAGTTAAAAATTATTAGATAGATTAAACCTTAAAAAATTAGAAACTTAGAAATCTCTAAAATCAATAATAAAAAAAATTTCAGAAAATGTGTCAAAGGGCAATCTCAACCTAAAAAGTTAAGCTTTTAGATGAAACCCTCTAACACACTCCCTCAACTTAAATTTCAATCCAAAAGCTTAAGCTTTTAGATAAAATCCCAAAATATGATTTATATTATTCTTTAATACATTCTCTCATGTTAAAGCTATTTGAAATTGAAACTTGTACAAATTCACACTACCCCGCACTTAATTAATTAGAAGAGACAAGTGAGAATAGTAAGATTTCAATTCTTGATCGTTATGTTAGCAAAGCTCTAATACTATATTAAATGATTATCTCAACTTAAAAGATTAAGCTATTACTTGAGATATCAATATGTAATTTATATTATTTTCTAACAAATCCAACTTTAAAAATTTTAAACTTCAAAAGCCGCTAACCCCAAAAAAATCTCTCTCAATGAATTTGGGGGACTTATCCATTGCATGTGATATATATATATATACACACACACTAAAAATCTAGAGATTCTAAATAATAGATTGATTCATATACCTAGTCGGCTCCAAGTATTAGCCAATTCCACTAGCGTATGAATTTGCTTCTATACATGAACGGAATGGAAGTGCGAAATTGAGTCATTTAGGCTATGTTTGTTTGGAGAAAAACAAATTTCGAAACTTATTTTTCTTATTTTTCAATGTTTGTTTCGCGTTTAGGGAAAAAATCAATAGAAAATAATTTTCGATCAACAAAAATGATTTCCCAGTTAAAAAGAGGAAAACATTTTCCTTCCTATGAGCTATTTCGCTCTCGTGTTACTTACCTCTCTCTAGATATATTTTAACAATTTTCTATCTATCTTCTTTTTATTTAAAATATATCAAATTAATTTTTAATTATTCCTTATCAATTATTATTAATTATTTAATTATTTTTCTATATTTCTACTAATATTTGATTTTTTTATCCATAGATACATTAAATATTTTTAAAAACTATTTTTACACCTCAAATTATTATTATAACAAAAATCTTAATAATTTATCTCTATTTGTTTACTATTATCTCAAGCGCTACTTAAACTATACTTACATGATTAGAAATGATTATTACAAGATTGTAATTTTTTTTAAAAAAAATGAAATTCATTCATTCATCAATAAATAAATTATTTTTTCAGCACTATTCATTTGCAATTAAATCAATAATTTATAATTTTAATCGATTGTAAAATTTTGTTGGTAATTGTAGTGAATAATTAGTTACAAATTATTCCAACATTAATCTTTTGAAACCAAATGAATAATTATCTACAAATCATAACTAATAATTTCTAAAACTATTTTTTAGACTAAATTGTGAGATCAATTTTCAAAAAGAAAAAAATTCTTAATTGAGTTACCAAAATAACAATGCTAGGGTTATTTAGATTTTTTTTTTAACTAAATGTAAATATTGATTTGATTTTGTCCCAAGTAATTTTGATGAATTAGTTTGAGAGTTAAAAAAGTATATTTTATTTTTTGAATTAAAATTTTAGAGTTAGTATTTATGAAAATTTATTAAATTTTTCTAAACGTATCTTATATTGTGAAATTGTCAATATGTCTTTTTGAAGTTTTCTCGAAAACTTGTTGATGTAACAATCACATACCGTTTTTATATTTTAATTTTCTCGTATCAAACAAACGCCGAAATATATTTTTCAACAGCTTTTTTATGTAATTGCCAAACGATAGAAAATATTTTCTTGAAAAATAATTTTTTGAAAAATAGCTTTTTCAGGAATTGATTTTTCTATGAAAGTTATTTTCCATCAAACAAATGGAGCCTTAGAAACAATGAAGACCCTCTTTATTCAACATGTGATATACCATGTACGTATGCTATTTAGTGGACACATGACATACCATGTATATTATCTAGACTAAAAAAACCTTATTTTTAAATTAAAATTGACTAAATTTATATATATGATTGATTTTAACCGAAATGCCATGTTATACCAATTAGAGCGAAACCTATGTTTTCGAATTAAAATTGATTTAGTGGAAAATTTTGCTCTTATTTTATTGCGATTTAGCAATTTCAAACATTTAATATTAAATTATGTAATTTGAATATCAAATTATTAATTTTTGAATAAAATTGATCTAATTTTTTTAATTGCCGTTATATGTGATTATTACTTTTAATGTTAAAAAGATGTTGTTTTGACATTCCTATATTAATTATGTTTTTTTTAAAAAATATTTTTAACTTCTTAATCTTGAACTTTTTTCTCCTTATAATAGAAATTTGAAATTCAAAATTACGTAATTTATCAATAAGAGCTTGAAATTGTCAAATGATGCTAAATTTACCATTAAACCAATTATAATTGGACTACATTTCTATATGAAAACCTACTTTTTGATTGACGTAAGTAAGTGGGTTCATCACCTCCAAAAGAAGCAACTGCAGATTATTATTGTTGTTGTTGGCAAGGCAACCGAAGGATTTACTGATGAGTCCACTCCATGATGCTCCCTCATGTTGGATTACTTGTCAAAAAAAATCATAATAAGAAAAATGTACTTGTCTAAGGAATGAAAATAAGAACGTGAATGTAAGTGCATGTTTTGACTATTTATTGCCAGTTCACATTTGCTAATAAAAAAAAAAAAAATACAAGAATTTGGACATCAAAAAAGTTTTACCTTTTTCTTTTTTCGAGATAATCTGGGGACCCTTAACTGCCTTGAAGTTCATGTTTCTCAAAATGGGGAAGACAAGTTGACTTACAATCTTTATCACCTCTAACAAAGCATGATTTGGTGGACCTCATTATTTTACGCATAACACATCATGTGAATGTTTGCATTTGGTGACAACTTTGTGTCAAAATATGATGAGCATGTGAGGCCAGATCAAAGACCATTGAAGTCTTTTGAACAAATATTCCTGCCAAGAGAAAGGACATTAAATGAAAAGGCCATGAATCCGAGTCATCCAACTCCTTAATCAGAGGGCATTTTCACATAAATTAGGTCATCTACCACATGGAAAAGGGCCCCATAAGTTTCGTACAGCACATGCACAGTAATATTCGCCACAATTAACGTCTCACTTCTACAATATATAGCATAAAAACAATGCCTCAGTGTTTCATTGAACATACCCAACACCTTAAGAAATATTCAAACACCAAAGCCGTGGACTAATAACTTACACCAAGACGTCCAATTTTGCGTCAACTAAAAAAAGAAGGAAAAAAAAACAAAAAAAAAAAACCACCACCACCCCAACAAAAAAAAGTAAAAAAAGGCGACAAAAATTAAAGAAGAGTGCCGATTTCCTTTCACAATTTGGTTCAAGGAAATGTTGAAAACAATGTGGACATTCTTGAATGAGTGCATAGAAAATGCTGGAACAATGAGGCTACCAGAACCAGACAAATGCATCCCATAGTGCACCAAGAGCGAAAACAGTCGGTAGAACGTACTGGCCTCTGAAAACGGAACTTGGGGAGCCACTTTTCTCATTTATTGGGGCAATGGTTGGAGGGGGAGGTGGGTTTACTACATGGACAGCAAGCTTCATGCCTCCATAGCAGAAGCCCTTGCCACTGATGAAATAGTAATCACGAGTGACATTCAATGGAACAACATCTCTTCCAGCTCCCGTGGTCCAATTGTGAAGAGGATGATCAGATTTGCATAACTCATAATCAGTCTTGTTCACCTCTAACACATCCATTTGGTTCCTATCATACACGAAAACTGGGGAACAAAATGAAATCAGGTTTAATTTTTGGGAATTTAAGTGACCGAATTCCACATGGTAGACACATAGTACTAGAACAGGAAAGCAAGAGCAAAACATGTATTTGAAAGGAATACTTATTTATAAAAACTTTTGGGCTTGTTTCATAAATCATGAAAAAGCTTATTGTTTGGTTTTAGTCATCAACATTAGCTAGTAATATCAACAGGGTAAAAATGTGCTAACTCTACCTCTTGCTGATGGAACTAAATATGTTGGTATCGTGCTATATATGATTTAGGTCTGGCTTACCAAACTTAACAGGAATCAAAAAGTCCATTACACACTGTCAAAAAATTCGATCCACCATTCTAAACGCATCTATCCTGTCTGGGTACAGTTGAAGGAAAATTGATCCAAATGAACTGGCCATGTGCAAAGATTGCAAAAGTTGAGCCCAAATTTGGACTTCAATAGAATGCTTAATTTAGATGTTGATTTTGACAATGTTTATGTTCACATTTTAGTAAAGACCAAAACATATAGTATTATAAAATGCAGGCCAGCTTAAAATGCCTATTAGCTTGGGCTAGCCTACACTGGTTAGTTGAGGTCCGCTTGAGGCATGAGGTTCTGTAGTTAAGGCCAGTACAGGCTGAATTTCAGCATCACTTGGCCTCAGCCTCAGCCATGACTTAACAACAGAAACACTGGTACACGCTAGACTTACTAGAATGGTACCATAATAAAGAGTGAGCGATCAACTTAGTCCATTTACTCTGCTTTTGTTTGATTGAAGGTCTTCGTTGTATCATGCTATTCTCTGTACCTAAAAGCTTACTAATCGCGATGGTTAACAAGTCAGCTTTCCTAACTGCTAAGGCCAGCTTCTTAAAAAGAAAGACAGATAACAGAAATAGCAAATTCACTCTAAAGTTTGGGAAAGCTCAAAAAAGTTAAACCAAGAACGTTGAAGAAAGTGGAATTTATCAAAAAGAAGTTCAAGAAAGCAGAAAAGCAAATGAACCTTTTCGTATAGTAGAAACAGAAGGTAAAATTTGTGATCTGAGCTCGAAAAAATTAACAACCCAAAGACATACAATAATATATCCAAAGATTTATCAAACCAAATAAGAATCTCATTTGGTTCATCATATAATTGAACTTTTATGCTATAATAAGTTAAGAAGCGTTCAATTGCTATCCATTAGCTTCTGATTAGAACTGAAATGAAATAAATAACATTTTACGCAGCTTCCACTTTGATTTCTCTAGCATTTTCTCAGAAGTCAAATCTAGTTTCGTGCATTATTAGAAAAGACATGCTAATTAACACACATGTTTGAAGAACAAGCTGGCTCTTAATTGCAGGCAGAAATCTCTTAAAGAAGTGCAAACTAGAACCTTAAATCCAACAAAGAGTGAAAAAAGCTCAAAACTTGAAAACTATCAGCCAATTCCAAAGGCAGCCCATTTATAGATCTACCCATCTAGCTCCAAGACCAACAAAGTAAGCTAAAATCAAACAACATTACACTACTCTTCACTCAAAACAGCAAAAGCATGGAGACAGAAAGCAGAGAAACCTAGTTAACTAAGCATATACAAGATCTGAAACTAGATTCATGCAAGAATGAGTATTTGTACTTACAGAGCCAGTCATCTTTGTAGAACTGCTTGTCTTGAGCCCAAATGGTGTAGTTGACATTACTAGCCCAACCCATGTTAGATCCAACTGTCCATCTAGTTGCAGACACTTCAGGCACCATCAACACCATGGCAAAAACAAGCACCGCCACTGCCACCATTATTGGTGAACCAAACCCATTTCCTCTCTCCATTACTTATTCTCTTTCTTTTAGCTCAGTACTCTAGCTAGCTAAATGAGTGTGCGTTGTTCTATTATAGGCCTTCCTTTGCTTTGCTGGTGCTTATCAAGAAAAGGTTTCTTGTAAACTTCTAGAGATCCACAGATACCTTTGGTTATTTATTCTAAAAAATGTTGGGTTAAAACAAGTTAATATAGGATTAATTAATTAACTAACAGATCATTAAATAAGTTTGTTGAAAGGTGACTGCGTGCACGTTACAGTACTGTGAGAGAGAGTTCCAGGGCTCAGACAAACTTCTACATTTTAAGTTTTTCTGTCTCTTTTGTGCTTTGATATTTCTTTTTCCGCCTTTTTTTGGCTGTTCTTTTAACCGTTGGGTCCTACCTTAGCCTGTGCATTTCAACTTTTCAGTACTAGGAAAATCCTTACTGTAGATAATATGGATTTTCTGCGATTTTAAAATTATTCTTAGAGGAAGGTAATTCTTTTGATTCTTCGGGATGTTACCGTCAAAGATCCAAGTTAATCTCTAATTAGTTTTTCTGATCAGAAAACAAATAAGTTACATATACATATATATATATATATATATAAAAAGATTTAAACTCAAAATTATTTATTTAAATAACTAAAATTTCTTTTACTTAAACTAAATTTGTTAAATGACGAGTAAGGTAATTTTGATTCAATGCTAAATTTATATCTTTCAAAGAATTCTAATTTGATTTAAATAAAAAAAAAGTTTCTTAGTATATTAAAGAATTAATACGAGGACTGAATTGTATGAAAACCTTTCTCATAAAAAATTGTTGTGAATTAAAGAATCTTTCTTGATAATTGAATAGTCATAATGTCTTATTAGATGTCAATATTGATTTATGTATCGAGAGATAAAAGAATCTTCTTTTGTTTTATCAATACATTATCAACACATCTAGAAACTTATTGAGTCACGAGTATTAAGCGTGACATTGACCCAAATAAAGAGGAGCGAAAACTATAAAGAAAATAGAAATTAAAATAATTGATTTCAATTCTTTAAGTAATAAGAGAATTTTGAAAAAATTATTTCTCAAAATTTAACAAAGCTAATTTAGGAAATAGCCTTTTAAATTGGTCTATATAAAATATTCAGCCTAATTTATTTGTATGGTCCATCTATTATTGAGTTATCGGGCCCAATGTGTTGGGCCAATAGGCTTAAATGAAAGTCTAAAAAGGGTATTTTAAGAGGATTGGTATTTTTTAGAGCTTTTTGAAAAGTTCATTAAAACCTAAAAATTGGTTTTGATAAACACATATGCATCGAAGCCACCCTCTTTAGCAAGAAAGCAAGGTTGGCCCCCAAAACAAAAGTTGTTGAATTTTCTTCATTGTTCACGCAAATTGGAGCTAGCATTTCCGCATTTTTTCCTTTCTTGTATTGGTGTCTAAAGTTGCTTGGATTATCACTAAAGATCGAACGTTTGGACGGTTCTACGTACAATCTCGTGACTTTTCTTTAAGAGGCAATGATCTAAACTTCTTATTATAATTATTTGATTCAATGATGATCTTGTTTTATTGATTAGAGGAAAACAAAAATTTATTATTTATTTCACTCCTACGTAGCATGCTTATCCTTCACATTTGTCCCAAATCCATCAATGAAATTAAATCCTAAAACTTATCCTCTCAACTCCAGCGTAGAACATTGATTAATATGCCTTATTTCTCCTAAGATACATGAGGTCTTCGACTCTTTTCGAGTTTGATGCATAATAGTGTATCTATTCATACTTTGAATTTCAATAATAAACACAATCAAAGCGATATTACATTTTTTTTAAAAAATAAAGTAGTTTAATTAATAACATCAAATGGATACAAATTTTGAATGTTATCAAAAAATATAATGAAAATGTGAAAACACTAAAAGCTTTATTTGGGATCGGTTCTACTTTTTTTCATTTCTCATGGAAACCGATTATTTAATTAGTCAAAAAAAGGAAAACAATTACTTGTTGGCAAAGAAAAAGTCCGCCACTATCGGTTGTCACAAAAAAAAAAAAAAAAAACTACCGCCAACAAATAGGGGTTGTTAGATGGGTCCGTTGTTGTTAGGTGACTACCGAAGGCAAGAAGCGAGTGATTGTGAAGCTACTACCTTAATAAATGATGGCCGCTAGTAGCGACTAGAATGGCTACTCCGGTTGGACCGAGAATATTCCTAAACCTCTGTCTCACCTATCCAGAGCATTGCAATGGGGATAGCATATATCATTAATCTAATCAATGAGTCCAGGAAAATCCTCCCTTTTTCTTGTTTGCTCAAACAACACCGCCAAAAGAACAAAACAAATCGAGACCGCAAAGAGAACAAAGCAAACCAGGATTACCCCTATTCTTCTATCTCATCCCTTCAACACAACAAATGACCGAACATGCCTCAATGATTCAGGCAAATGAGTCCAAGAAATCCTCTATTTCTTTTTTTTTTTTCGAAACACCATTGCCAAAAGGGACAAACCAAACCGGATCGTCCCTACTCCTTTGCCTCACCTCTTCAACAAAATAATGAACACAAATAGAGGTAAAATATGTCTACCGATTCGGGCCGGTGAGTCTAGGTATTAGGCTAGATGGTTGCTTCATCTTTTGCTAGTTGAGGAAGCTATTAGGAACTTATTTAGATATTATTTTTGGAGTGGGTTTCGATCAAAGGTTGTTTTTGTGTGTGCAATAGTCGAGATAAGGTTTTAAATGGTGTTATGAATCTATAAAGGTTAATGGTGGTAGGCGGGTGGTCGGCTTTTGGATGATGACCAACATTGGGAGATAGGTTGTTGGTCGGAAGTGGTTATAAGGTTTTTAACCGTCACGAGTGGTCGTTGGGAGGGACTTTTAATGGGATCGAGGGGAGGTTAACGTTAATGAAGATGGCCGACGTTGGGTAAGTGTTGGTTTGAGGAGTTATGATGATGGTTTCGGGTAGAATAATGGCTTATTAGGGACCATATGTGCTTCGGGTGTGGTTTCGGTTGGAGGTTAAAAGTGGAATGGGTGTTCGGCACCGGGGTTTATTCGGAGATGATGGTGGTTCGGGGTGGAAGCTCGGCTCAAGTTGTAGCTCGATGTTTCGGTGGCTATTTGAATGGAGGTTGAAGACAATTTTGTTGCGATCGAATGGGAGTAAGCGAGATGATGGAAAAATGAAAATGGTTGCCACCCCTCTAATTTGTAGTGAGTAGTGCCTATTTATAGGAGTGGAAATTTGGATTTGATAAACATCAATTTGGGTACTTGCTTACTCTATTTTTTTTTTCAATCTGCATCCTTCGATTTTTTTAATTGCACCATTAGCTGAAGCTAATCAAGCCTTTCTTATCTAATTTCCTTCAGCTTGCATCGTTTGTTTCTTTCAATTAAGGATTTGAGGTTTAAAATTTTCCAATTGCACCCTCAATGGGTTTTCTTTGGTCCTTTACACTTCGTTTTTTTTTTTTTTAATTAAACTCTCAAATCATTTTTTTCAAATATTTTTTTCTTTTTTTGTATTTTATTTTAACTAACAAATTTTAAAAATTAGATAGAGGTAAAAACTAGATGTTAACATTAATTATCATATTATTGAAACTGGAACAAGAAGGGTGTGAAAGGGGTACTTCAAGGCTTCGGAAAAAAATACTAGCATAGCCTTAAAATAAAACAACAACCCTTTTATTTTTAAGGAATTTAAACATTAATTTTTTGTTGTTTTTATATTTCATTCCATATTTTATGTAACATTTACATTTTAGTCACCATGTTTTATTTACATAATGCTTCGGTCCCTAGCTCTATTTGAGGAGAGAGAGAAGACACTAATGATCATATTTTTAAATAATAGCCTATACATAATGTAATAACTATTATACAACAATTATGGAGTACATTGTTATCGTTATTCGAGTGTTGTAGGATTTCCATGATCATTTTATATAAATAACAATGAATAACAACATTACCATTACATAACTCCATTAGATAATGTCATATTAAAAAAAAAAAAAAAAAAAAAAGACTTTGCACTTTGCATCCCATTCAACGAGATGTTAGTATCGCTTAAAAATATATGAATCAAAATAAATTTATTAACAACTCGCTAATGTATTTACGACATCGATTGTCGCGATCATTATTTTACCATTGCGATAAATCGCGACAACGCAATCACAACTGCAGTCGTTTTTTCAACCGCTTCGCAATTTAAAACTATCATCACCTTCCTTACAACTCCCTTAGTCTCGTCATTAAGAGGATGATCGAGTTCCATGAATCTAATCCGTCCTTATCACCTATAGCACATTCATTCGGTGACTATCGCATGCAAGAGTCGGGGAAAGCTTGCAATAAGGTTGGCCTTAAAGGAAATTGAAAGACTACATTTCGCATGTCGTTATGAGGGTACTAAAACATGAAAACCGGAGCAAAACGTGTGTTTGAATTAAGTGAATTACATGTTTATTACCACTTTTTAATGAACATGTAAATTAGTTCTCAACTAGATTTTTTACCCGCGCTATGCTACGGGTTGGATAAAATATATAAAATTATTTAGAAAAATTATTTCAGTTTGATAATTTGTTTTATGGTGTGAATCTATAACAATATATGAAATCAAAGGTAAAAATATAATTATAATTTTTTAATCAAAAAATTTGTATTTAACTATTTCTTATTTGTGTTTTTCATATTTTTTTTCTTTACAAAAAGGATTTATTCTTGTTAACCCATGGATTATTAACTAAAAAAAAAATTAATTTTTTTTTTAAAAAAAGCTTTATTTTTTATAAGATTGTGTCGATAAACAAAACTAAGAATTACTAAAAGCTTATATAGAATTGAATAAATATTTTATTTTTTATTTCATGTTGATGAGAATATCGATTTTTTTTTAAATGTGAATTTAATTTTTATTAATTGGATGAATAATATTAAAATAAATCAAAACTATGAGTAAATATAATTTTAAATTAATTGGATGAGAATTTAAAAGAAATGACAAACTAATGAAAATAGTAATAAATGACAAACTATGAGTGATAAAATTCTTTATTATAATATATGTACTTTTTTTTTTTGAGAAATACATCTTATGTAATTGTTAATTAATAAATTATGTTATGTAATAGTATGTGCTTCTAGACATAATTATTTTTTGAAAAAAAACATATTTTTTCAAATTAGATATTTTAAACTTTAGAAATAAATAATAAAGAAAATAAATTATTGGTTATTTTAAAATTTTAACACCCAACATTATTTAGAAACGGAAATTAAAAAAAAAAAAAACCGTTCACTTTTCAAAAACAGAAATAAAAAAATGGTCACACTAAAAGAAAAATTAGATATTTTAAATTTTAGAAATAAATAATAAAGGAAATAAATTATTTGTTTCTTTAAAATTTTAACACCCAATTAATTATTAGTTCCTTTAAAATTTTAACACCTAACATTATTTAAAAACAAAAATTAAAAAAAAAAGTTCAATGTTTAGAAAAAAAAAAAAAAAGAGGGCCAGCCATTTACTGTTCATGTAAACAGTAGAACGGACAAAATTTTTTTTTTAAAAAAATGATCAATGTTTACAAAGGAAAAAAAAAAGAAAAAAGAAGGGGAGGGGGGCAAGTCATTTACTGTTAAAATGAATAGTAAACGGAACAAAAAAGCCAAAGGGTGCTGGCCAAAAAAAAAAAAAAAAAAAAACTAAAGCACACCAATGAATAATGTTAACCATTGCTCATTATTGTTCATTGCTACAGTAAAAAACATCTTCCTTTAGTTTATAGTATAAAATATAATATAATTTCAAACATCCGCAATCAAGAATCCAAAGTCACTGTAATCCACACATTTGAACAAACTAAGGTGGTGTCCATTTTGGATCCTTTTTTAATGAATTGATTGCACGTATTATTGGCACCATTTGTGGGACTGTTGCAGGCAGAATTCAGGATATTTTCGATAAGAACAGTGGACTGAAATCTTATCAAATAATCAATCAATATATTTCCCTCTTTCCAATTAATTTCCTAAATTTATAACATAACGAATTAGTAAAACTATATCTGAAGCTAATTTGATTGAGGATGTATAACCGTTTTGAGTTTCTGTAGCACAAGATACAATCAAAATCGTAAACCTTGCTACACAGTTAATAACTCTGAAAGGAGCGGCGAAATTAATTAATCAGAGGAAATGTTTCATTTAGTTGCTGGAAATCTGAAGCAATGACCAGAACTTAAATTGAAAACTTCACTATTTTACACACTTTTCATCTTTCCACAATGCAGTGGCCAGGTTCTTTGATGCATATCTCCTGATAAGTGGCAAATGCGTTGGCTCATTTACTACGTTACATGATGCCCTTCTCAGAGGCCTCACTCATATAACCATAATTACAGAAACAAACATCAACTTGGGGCAATCATAGAACATATTCGTTACCACAATTAAGCAGGCATTGCAAAGCTCAATCCAACCTTCTCAGTAAATACTGAACTTGAACTTCCTTTGTCAGTGGCATGATCCAGTCACCATATAAATCAGCAACCAAGGTTGGTCGTATTTTGTACACTGGGTCAGTTCCATCTACCTCTCTTTCCATTGTCACTTCCTGCCCAAAAATTCTGGCTTTCATCTCAACTCTCTTTTTCACTGCCTCTTCAACTGCTGGGTATGTCAGCATTTCCATTAATCTTTTGCTGTCCTGAAAAATTCAAACACCACAGCAAGATGAGGATACAGAAGATTTGAGAGAACACTGGGTGCTGCGCTCTCTAAAAGATAAATAAAGGATCGCACAGTACTAACCTGTGCTCTAATGGCAGCCTCATATGCCTCTGGAGAAGCTCGAAATTTAGCCTCTGCTACATATTTTCCATAATGGATTCTTTTTGAGAGAGCCTGAAATCACAAGAATGCATAAGTGTGTCAGCTAAAAAATTGTCACATGTAATGCATTTAGAAAATAACAAATATCTGTGGGTAGGAGCAAGCAACAGAATTTTGTCTGTGCAAGCGTGTGTGTGTGTGTGTGTGTGTGTGCACACGCACGTGCACATTCGAGAGAGAGAGAGAGAAGATGCTCCAGTTAGGACAAATTATAGTTCTTGAACACCATACACATAAATATGTTCTGAATTTGTAATTTACTAGCAGCATAAAGTCACATTACAAATAAGAAGCATGAGCAACTTAGATATGGAAGCAAAAAAAAAAAAAAGAATAAAACAGATCTTCAAAATGAAAGGAAATATAATTAAGAATTGAGAGGAGGACAAACTTTTAGGCTAAATTGGAAGCTATGCTAACTAGGAACGTAGCAGTTGATAAAGATTACTACAACCATCTTCACATTAGAGCCCAATGAAGTTAAGAACATGCACCAGAAACTTGAAGAGTTGTGAAAAATTGTAAAAACAGGTTCTTTTTCCTTCAAATTACAGCCAAATGTGGTACAGTATAGGCAGGTATCCAGTCTTCTTTTTGTCCCTTTCCCTTTTAAGCTTGTACAGATTTGATATCCCTTTAGTGAATGAAAGAGAAATCTAATTCTTTCACCAAAGACACGTGAGAGGCACAAGGTAATTAAAAGGGCTACAACTCCAAACTTAATCCATTGACAAATAGGGTTTCTATTGGAGACAACTTAGGAAACTCAAATTCAGCTAAATTTGCTACATTAGCATTCCAAGCCATATAATGTTCATTGCCACAAACTGATTAGCATTTGTGCCATCAAATGGCCACCATTGGACTACTGGAAAAAGTAATTGGAACCGATAGCAAAGCCCTCATGAGTCGGTTCTCATGTTACCGACATAATTTATGAGAATGCTGACATAGCTACATCTGAGGAGGTGCTTTTCAGTAGTGATTCAAAAAATGAGTGCTGGTAACATATGCTTCACTGTTCTAGAAATGTGACTCATGTTGTTTAATACCCATTAGCAATAACTAAATGTATCGAGGAAAAATAGAGTTTTGTTAGGTTAAAGATAAGACCAGCTCCTTGCCTGAAATGAACCCTTGGTAAATGCACATATTTGCAAGGGCAGGTTGTGACAGGAGAGAAGCTCACCTTTCAACATGGCCATGAGTAGCTAGCTAGTGGAAGAACCAACATCGGTTCAGGTGTCAAATTCAAGCAAATCCATTTATCCATTTGTTACCTCATATAACTCCAGGGAAAGTCTAAATGACACAGGAAGACTTGTCTAAATAGTAAGAATCTCTTAGAGTTTGGGCATTAGAAAGAGTCAAATGCAATTTCCAATTAAGAAACTGTTGTGGATCAGCAGTCTAGAAGAAGGCAGCAACGCAAGGAGGGAAACTAAGATCTTGCGGATATTTATTTATTGTTTTTATTTATTATTTATTAAGAATAAGTCAGATTAGGAAAAGGATATGAGTCCTAATTGGTGTGGTATTTTAATTACGACTTTCTATGATAGTATGAGTCTGTCTAGGGAATAGCCTATTAGGTTTGTCTATGTTTTTCAACTGCCTCTACTATATAAAGAGCGGATGCTTTCAGAATAAAGGCATTGAATAATTTATACCAAAAAAGGTTTAGGAGAGTTGGAGGTGTTTTAAGGACAAACCTCTAAAGTTACTGTTACGATAGGTCACTCGCAGAAAGGGAAGAATCGAAGCAAGGGAATCAGTGAGGATTTCCCTGTTCATCGACCTGTGACACGATCCTTGACACGGGACCATAACAGAAACTTAACCCATTCAAAAAAAAAAAAAAAAAAATTTGTTAACACTTTTCCCTTATAAAAGGTGTTTAAGTGATGTCTAAACAGACACCTTCTATGTACAAGATTCCAGTACACGTATTACTAACTAGAAAAAGAGAGTTCACAGAATGAAACTAGAACAAAATCATCAAGGAAGATCGAGAAAACAGTTTGTAAGCTCTTAGGTTGACAAAGAATAAGTTGCATCTAGTTTGAGACTTAAGAGTATCAGAGTAGCATAAAAACAGCCTGAAATTAAAAATGGGTGGGTTAGTTTACCTGTAGACAGATTGTGTCACAAACAGCTGTTGATCCAGAATTGCCATCATCTCCTTCTTTCACCAATCTTGGAACAAGACCTCTAAAATACATGTCCCATACTGTCTTATTTATATTAATTGAATCAGCAACGGGATGTAGTACCTGTGTGGCAAGAAAGGAACATGCTTGAAAAGGAAGTAAAAGAAAATAGACAAAAGTAAAATCTGAACATAAGGCAACAGAGATAGAGATAGAGAGAGCTCTTTTTTTCTTTTTCTTTTTTTGAAAAAAAGGAAAAAAAATAACATGCCAGAACTTTTTTCTTGTGCTCAAACAAAATTAAAAGCTACATCTAACTACTGGTCTTAATTTCAGAATTAGATGGTACTTTTGTTGCATATTGCAAGATAACATAAAGATTGTTTCTCTTGTGCTGTATGCCCATAATGGTCTGATGAAACTTATGAAAAAACAATGCGGTGAGTCTGCATTGCTTTTTCATGTCACAAGCTTGTCAATATATCAGATAAATAACCAGGTTCCCAAATTGCATGCTGTCAATCCCATTACATGCAGTTTCTCCTAAATTGAAAGAAATCATCAAACTGTTGAAGATAAATTTGTCATGTGGGAGCTTAGTCTGTGGCATTATAGAATTGAACTTTGGAAAAAGACAACAAATAATATCTCTGCAGCATCTATTTACATCCAATGTCTTACCTGTGGATACTGCAAAGGTGGCAGCACTGGCTCAGGTAAGTCATCCGGGAAAAAGGGATGCTCATCAGGGCTCTTGTATCTGCCAACCTAACGGCCAAATGCAATTTAAGAACACTGGCATGAATTCTCTAATATATATCTTCCTTATTTCCCAGAAATTCAAAGGAATAAGTACAGCATACCTGAGCATGTAGCTTTTCAGTTTCCTTGAGTATGAACTCTATCAGAGAACCATGGAACCCATCCATCGCAAAAACACCAGGATCATAGGTGTCTGCATTATAACAGTATTGAGATCTCTCTAATAGGCTAAATATTATACTATCCTCTTGTAGAATCAAGGAACTCCTTATGTTATCTAGGGTCAATATATCGCTTACATCCACCCTTTCCTTCTTTGTCAGCCTGCAAAAGAGGAAAATTACTTTCAAAACCTGATGGCATATAACAAGTTGGAAATTGATATGCCCCAAGCCTTCCAATAGAAAGCAGCAATATATGTCCAAAACAGAAATAATTCTAGCTTTAGAAACATTCCAAAACAAGTAACAAAATGAGGAACAACTAAGCAGTGCCATGAAAGAATCAGGTCCATTAGAAAAGTTTTACCCAAATATTTCAGGAAAAAGAAACTTTAATTGCGCAAACTCACTATTCCCAAATGTACACTGTTTGTTACATTTATGCACATCAGTGAGCTATTAAGAAAAACAAACCTAGGCATCAGTTTATCTACGTTTAATGAAATGTATATGAAATTTCTCAAACTCTCCAAATTTTAAAGTATGAAGCTAGTTGGGTTACCTGAACTAATCATTCAGCATACCGTCAAAATTGATTTTGTAATCTACACGCATGCTTGTATTTGCACGAACGCACACATATATGTCTTAAACCCAAATCAATTAGAAAAACTTTTTAGGCATGTTTAGCAATTAGCGTAAAAGTAATACACATTCAAAAAAATTATACTGTTTACTGAATCAATTAGAATTTAGAATGCTGTTAAAATATATATATATATATAGTATTCAGAACCGAAACACAGTGTAGAGCAATCTGTTGGTGGTGGAAATTAACATATGAACCCATAAATCAATAAATAAAAAACGCCTAATAAATATACACTGCCATATACCCAAATCCAAAGACAAGAAATTTAACTGCAATAACAAGTAGTCCAATTTGTGATAAATTCCATCCATTCACACCCTCGACAAAAAAGTAACACAAACCCATCATAGAACAAAAAATCCAACAAGCAAAAAAAAAAAAAATCAAGCTATCAATCAAGAACAGCAAGTTAACTAATTTAGGCAAAAGGGTCACTGTTTCTATACCCTATGGATGCAGCAGATGCTTGCACTGATAGAATGCGTCTCTTTGTCAAGCTTGGACAGTTGACTCTTAACGTTGTATCGTTTTGCCCGGTTTGGAGACCCAAACTGTAATTGGCCCTTGAAAATTTTGATTCTTTAGGAGTTAGTAAAAACGGACAAGCAGTTCCTAATAGCTTAGCCTCCATTGTAAAGAGAGAGGGAAGTTAAAGAGAGAATGGCCGGCTTAATAGACTTGCGGAGTTGCAATATACAGAAAAAAGCTTTAAGCTTTTATAAACCCAGAAAAAGCCAAATGCCAACAGTAAAGGAAAAAAAAAAAAAAAGGTTTCGCGTGGTTGTTGAGGAGAAAGATCAAAGATGTCAAATTGGGGTTAGGTGAGAAGAAACGCCACTGTTACTCTGCTTGCCCTTCAAGAAGTCAAATTGATTAAAACAGAGGTCTTCTGTAGCCCAACTGTTTGATTGACTTTCCGTGGCCCGTCTGTTTGATGAATTAGTCGCAACAAACATCGTTATTTTTTATATTTTCTTAATGTAGATTTTTTGTTTTCTTTGTATTCATTGCATCTTTATCACCTAATTTTTTTCTTCATAAAATATCTCAGAATGATTAAATGTTTTTTCATTAATTCAGTTTATTTTTATAAATTTTTACCTTTTTGTTGTTAGGATTTTTGGAAGCCCATCATTTTGGTTCAAAGAGAAAAAAAACAAAATAAGAAAAAGAGAGAAGACCATCCAAGACAACCATTATCCAACCACCATTTCTAGCTCTTTCTTTTTTTCTTTTTTTTTCTTTTTTTGACATCAATAACCATCCAAGACAACCTCATAGCATCCCTCTCTCAATTAATTTCACCTCTCCAGTTGACAATATCGATTGTCTCAATCGAAGGATGAAGAAAGTGGTCCAAGCAAAATAAATAAATAAATAAGGTCTTCGACTCAACAGTATTTCTAAGGAAATTCCTAAGCTACTAGACTTGTAAAGTGAGTTTTTGATATTTTTTATGTCATTTTTACATATTTTAGATGATATATATATATATATATATATATATATATATATATATATATATATATATATATATATATATATATATATATATATATATCTGTGTGTGTATGTCGGATTAATAAGTTGTATATTGATGAAAATATGAGATAAATGAGAGATGTATGATTGAAACTATGGATTTTGAAATGTTTGAGATGCACCGTTGTGTATCAAACTCGAAGGATCGAAGATTCCGAATACTCTAGAGGTGCAATAAGATTGTCGTTCAATGCTCCAAATGGAGATAAATAATTGTTCAAGTATGATTGTCGATTACGGTGTGCGTAATGATATATGTTGTTGCTTGTATGTTGTAAGGAATTAAATATGAATGCTTATGTCATGTTGTTGATGATGAATTTAGTAACCATTTTTTGACCTCCAATAATTTTTATTTTTATATAAAATTTTAAAAATTCAAAAATTACATGTTGCATAGTTTCTTGATTTTTTATCATTTTTATATATTTTTAGAATTTAATTTATTAGGATTATCTCCTAATTTTAATTAAATAAAAAAATAAGAATTGAAAAGAGAAAAAGAGAGAAAAAAATTAGGCACAAATTAAAGAACATAAAATGTGTGATGAACAATAAAAAATCAAATTGAATGTGTATTTGAAACAAGAAAAGGCTAAGGATTAAGGTAAAATCGAGGAGAAAAGGAGGGACAAAACAAAATTAACCCAAAAACCTAAAAATCCCGATAAATACATCTCTTTCTTCCATAGAGAGAGAGAGAGAGACGTGGAAAACCATAGAAAGGTCAAAGTTTTCAAAAAAAAAAAAAAAAAAAAGAGCAATCAAACAACCTTTTAAGTCACAACAAAACTCGCCAACCCGTCGGTCATCTCTCCCTTAAAATCACCACTCTTTGGCAATATCACCCCTAATAACCACACAAACTTGAAGCCCAATCGAGATTGGCCTTCCGTAACATACTTGACCTAACCGAGGTAAAAAATGCTATCGCAATGCCTCATACTCGAAGTACAATGAATATGAGATATTAAACCTCATGCCCTTAACTCTAATTATAAATTTATTTGAAAATATTTTGTAATAGAAGACTATTTGATTCAAAATTAAAATCAATTCATTAAATAGATATAAAACCCGTAACTAGAAATTATTGTATTCTTTTCAAAACATATTTATATATAACACATTAAACTATCTAATTAAGTTTCATTAAAATTAATATAGTTATTCGATACTCTTATTAATTATTAAATAACCATTTTAGACTTTATTAACTAATAAATTATTTAATTATTAAACCTCCCATTTAATTAGACACCATGATTAAATTTTTTTAAAACTAATCGCATTGAAAGCCATTTCAATTAGTAATTTGTTAATTCGTTAAACGCCATTTATTATTCTTATTATGAAAACCATTTTAAGTCCAATATCATTTATGGCCATTGAAATCGTTCTAAACCAATTCATTTCATTTAACCATTTTCATTAAGTTACTATATCTAACCCTTATACTAAATCATTAAAAACCATTTCATCACTTTAATTTATTTCATTTAAGCATTTGATTGAACTCGTCAACCCATTAACCTAATTTATAAACATTTTAAATCCATTTATTTATTTATTAACATAACATACTAAGTTAACAAAAGTACCAAAACATGAAAGTTAGTAACTATCTAAACTCGTAACTTTTAAAGTATAGTTATAGTACACACTCAGCAAGCTTCATTCCTTTTAGCATCATCATCAACTTCACACTAAGTCCTCACACATCAATGATTTGCCTACATCATAAGACAACTAGCGAGCTAACACTCGGTAAGTGTAATTATGAATGATGATACAAAAGAATACATTTTTTTTGTGATTTTGGAAAACATTTTCTATGATCGAACGCACCTCGTTGAATGTGTATACATTCAGCCTTCCATGAGAACCATGACTATGAAAATCATGAAAAGCCACTAGACATCCCCTGTGAAGCCTATGACGCTCATAAAAAGTTGATCAATCTTCTTGCAAGCCTTTGATTGAACATGTCTAGCCATGATCCTTTTCTTGAAAACTATGCACTTGTTTTTCCTTTTGAAAACATGAAACATGAAGAAAATGTTTTCGTGAAGTGAATTTAATCAAATAAATTTACACATAACCCATGATCTTAAATTAGCCATGTAGGTTGAATTCACCTTCCAATGAAATACTTAAACACTCACCCATATAGCATTAAACAAAAATATACCAATGACATTAAATAACATATCAATTACATAATCAATCAATAAATGCATAGGAACATCACTAAATCATTCCAAGTAGTAATAGTCAAATCGTTAACAATCAACTTCACGTGATTTCAAGAACGTTAAGCCAAGTTTCATTAATCTTGGACCTAAGCTAAATTCAACCAATATCACACCAACAATCACTCATTAAGGAACTAACAATGAATCATTAAAGAACCAATTATTTCTCACACATGGACCTTAGCCAAATGATCATCAACATGATTTCAAACTTCAATTAACCATGTATCATCAAATAACAACATAACAATCAATTATATAAAAATATTACATGAACAAATATCAAAGAATAAAAAAAAACATCATTAGGTTGAAGCTCCTAAGAAACAAACCAAAGAACAATACATGTATACAAACATTCAAATACCACATAAACACATCTTCAAATAATTACATGACTTAAAACTAACATTATTGTCCATATACATATGAAAATTACACTAATTCACGAATTTCATATTTGGCCAAATGTTATCAACAATTCCCACTAAGATGCAACAATCCAATAACTTCATTGATTCAAGATCTTTAAAACTTCTAAATCATTTTTTAACCTAATTTCATTTTATAATCATCAATTAACCTCATGATCGATTATTAATTCAACTCAACATAGCAATTAATTAATCATCAATCAAGCTTAAAAACCATCATACTTATCAAACACTAATCAAGCAAATACATTTAATAATTCTAACAATTCATATGTCTTGTGATGTAGCTGAGTTGATTACACTTACATGGAGTTTAGTTAATGCTGAGACCTCTTAAATTTCTTTCAAAGATCCCTCCTTCTCCCTTGCAAAATTTTGGCCACGACTTGCTCAATTCCTCCTCCATTGTTCGACCAACTTGTCTTTTCTCTCAAACTTTCAGCCATTCATACTTCTCCTTCACCAAATCAGTTTACTTCTAGTATTTTAGTATTTAGTTTGCCTAATATTTTTTTCTAACTTATTTTAGTTAATCCCCTTCCTTTTTATAGCAAATTTGCAACCTTGAGAAGCTTCATGGAAGCTTATATATTTTTTGCCTTAAATAATTAATTTGTATAAGTTTTCTTGATATTTCTTTAGGTGAAGCTAGAACTTTCTTCCTTATTTTTCCCTCTCTTGGCCGAATTAATGAAGCAATGAAACTTATAAAATTATCACATGTATAAACTATTTAAGCTAAGATATTTATCTAGGTTGTTCTATGTTTATTAAAGTTAAAGTATTATCTAATTAGTTTGGATGTTTTGCACTTTTCTTTCCTTCTTGGTCGAATTAATCTAGAAAAATGGCTTAGGATTTTGCCAATTATTAACACATTTGTATGGTTAGTTTTATTTCCTTAGTTTAGTTAGCTTTTTCTAGAACTTTCATGTCTTTCTATAAATGTCCTAAGCCTAACCCTAAGTCTAACATTTACTTACATTATTAATATTATATTTTGATGTTAATTTATGCCTTACTCATGCATAATCCATCCTATCTAATTGAATTCTTCAAGCCTTCTAAGTTGATACACTTTCAATTTTAGTCACTTAACTTTATTATTTTATTCAATTAAGTCCTTAAACTTTAATCTCTAACCTTTTAATTGTTTCAATTAAGCCTCTAATTCGCTCACACACCTATAACACTTAACAATATTGTTATGAAAAACTAAACAATTAATAAGGCAAACACAAGCACAGTATTAATATAAGTATAAACCATACAATTCATGTAAACACTAAACATAACTTCATATATTTTAATAAAAAAATAATTAGGTGAACACACACACATTCAAATGCATATGAATATTTGATGTCAAATGAAAACACACGTATGCATATGAATGTTCC